AGCGCGGGGAGGGCGAGAGGCGGGGCCGCGCCCGGGAGCGCCTCCAACCCCTTGTTACGTTCGCAAAGGCAAGAGGCTTGCTCCGCGGTGCCGTGCCCTGTCCGAGGGCTCTTTGTCCGCAGAAACCAGGTCATGGCCGCGGTGGGCCTTCCCGTAGATCTAGCCCCTTTCTCTGTTCTTCCTCTCTCCGAGTTAGAGGCGCAATCGTTCCCGCTCGGCCAGTCTGCTCCCAAGGAGCGGCGCACAGGGGGTTCCCTCTCGGCATTGCAATCTCTCTCTGGTCGGCGAAGGCCAAGATTGCGGGTAGCGGTGGCAGAGGGAAGTTGGCGAAATGGCAAGGAGCAGGCCATTCCTCTGCCGGATCTAGGTCGGGCTCGAACGCGACGAGCCGCAGCCAGCAAACTCCAGAGCAGCCATTGTCAGCCTTTTCTTTTTGGCCACGGCCCTTAGAGGAGCCCCTTTCAGGTTGCAGGGCCCCCATCCAACAGGGAAAGCCTTGGGCTGTTGGGCAAACAAGGGGATAACGCGAACAGATGAATCGGTGCCCCCCTTCAAAAGCTCCAGGGGGCCCCAGGAGGCCATAAGGCCCCGGTGAAAATAGCTGCTCTAGAGACCTGTGGCTCTTTCAGACCTTGGCCAAGATATCCTTAGTCCACCTCGTCTGATACGTGTTTGCCTGACTGATTCACATAAGTCCCAAGCACTTGTTTGCCACATTCACAGCTTTACACGTTGGAAGCCCTAATTTTGAGCTCATTGCACAGGGAGTCATCTGGCTTCAGCCCAAGACTGCGCCGTGGCAGCTCACACAAACGTCTTTAAGAAAGGCCTGAAAATCATCCTCTACTTCTGTTTTTGTTTTTTGTTTTGTTTTTTGTGCTAGAAATGCGTGTGGAGGGTCATTTCCCTTCATTGCCTTTCTGCTTTTGGCTGAGGTTACCCAGCGCTGAGGGAAAGCTCAAACGTTTTTGAGCATCCAGCACCGACTGCAGACGTTTCTCCGGATCGAAATTTACCGTGCAGCTGGTCTGTCAGCAACGAGTCCCCTCAGGACTTCCACCCTTCACGGGTCAGGATGTGCTTTCCATTCTGCGCAGTTGGGGATGGAGGATCCCCATCGCCCCATCAGGCAAGGATGCCTCCTGGGACAGCCCCACCGGTGCCATGATATCTTCTGGGCCGTCGGGCATTGCTTAAGTCTGCTTAACTACAATACTACTGTATATCGTTTGCTCGCCGCGCACCTGAACGTAAGCTGCATCAGTAACGCCGGAGTCGATTTATTCCAGTGCCCTTCGTCTCAACGGGAGTACGGTATTTCCTTTCTGGCACTTTATAGGCGTGATCCCGGAGGGAGGGAGGGAAGTTCTCCTGCACAAACTTCTTTGGAACGTCTTCAGCTTCACAGAGGAGCTTGCGCAGGAGATTCCCCTTCCTGTCTCCCAGTGGACAGAAGCTGAAGGTACCAGCTGGTTTAGACCCCCAGCTCATCGGCTTCAAGTGGGCGGATGGTGGATAGGCCATTCTGATACACAGGCTCTTTCAAGCCGGGGAAAATACCCGTGGCAGGTCCAGGGGGAGAAAGAGCCGGGCCTGACCGCGGGGAGTGGGGGGGAGTGTCATGCATTTTAATCCAGTCCTCGCACGTTGCTGTTTGACATCTGATGCTAAATCAGGGGTCTCAATCAAGCAGCCCAAGTGCCGGGGAGCAGGGCGAGGGAGCCAGTGAAAAGGGTCTGTCTGCCCGCTGGAGTCGCCTGGGGTCTCCCATCCCCCCCCTTCTCTGTCACCTTTGTCAAGGAAATTAACCTCTTGTTATTGAAAACGAACCGCGGCCAATCTGGAGGAGAAAGAGGCACGTGCTGCGGCGGTGGGGGGGACCACCATACGCGAGGCGGGGTGAAGGGGCAGAGGGGCCCGTCCCCTTCCCGGCTAGACAAGGCAGCGGCTGCAGGGACTTTCTCGATAATATCTCTTCCTGCCTTAAAGCTCCGGCGAAAGTCACCGCTGAGCCTGCGGAGCTGCGGGGGGGCTGAGGTGGGGGACAGGCGACTCTGATCCGCAGTCCGCGAAGGCAACTCCACTGGAGGCCTTAAAGGACGGAAGAACCAACTTCCTCCGGCTTCCCCCAAATGCATTCCTGAAAAGCTGCCCCTCCGCTAACCTAGAAAAGGAAAGAGGAACGACACAGGACTCAGCCGCCGTCCTCGCTCTCCTCTCAGGCACCAAGTCCCTTAGAGCTGTTTTTCTGCCTGGTGCTGAAGTGAGCAAGAAACTCCCAAACGCCGCCAAGCCGAGGAGAAAGGACGGCCTTCCGAGAGACTCAGGGGACCCAGCAACAACCCCTGGGCACCTTCCGGATGGAGGCTCTTTCTTTTTCTTACTCCTCCCCCAATGGGCAACCTCAGGAAAGCAACAGAATAAAACAAAAATAAAATAAAATAAACCTGTAGTAGTAGAAGGAGATTCTTACCGCGAGAAACGGAATATTCTGCACGGCATTCTTGCCAGGCTTGTGCAGAAAATACTGGCGCTGGATTTGTGCCTCTGCTTCTAAACTGACAAGAAGAAGTAGAGGGGAGGGGACGAGTAAGTGAAACTTTGAGCAAGAAATAAATGACGCGGAATCCAAACCTTCTGTTAAATCGCAATGCTGTCTTCAAGATTGGAAATAATAATTTCGAGGCGGATTCCTTGTAAAACGGCCAAAGGGAGGATATCACAATGTCCCCCTAAAAACTCGCACTTCCCCCCCCTTTCCCTAAATTCAGCCTATGAATTCAAAGGCAACAGACGCTGGTGGCCTGGCCCTTCAATTCAAGATTATACTTGGATTTTCCACGCACTAGCTGTATCATATTTCTCCCCTTAGCTAGACCCAGTTATGATTTTATGTTCTTGTTCTTTTTCACGTTTTGGCTGAATTTCAAAGAGAACGAAAATTTTTTTAAAAAAAAACCCTCGTGTGATCAAGATCAAGGATGGCAGATTTCAGATTAGCCCGCCTAAAATGGCTTTTTCCTAGAAGCCCACCAACAGGAGGCGAGTAGAAAAGGCGCGCGCGCGCGCGCACAACACACTTGGGACTAAAGCCTGCTGAGCCCAGGAATTTGTCTGGAGAACTGAATGGAGCTCTTGGGTCTTTCCAGACACCCCCCCCCCAAAAAAATGCACAACTTGCTATGGCATACGCCTTTCGCTGCAGTAACGTTTTGTTGCTGTCGCCGTTAGCCTAGCGGGAACTGTCACGGCACTTAGTCACTTTTTAGATTCTGCCTCCACACCCCCGGCTTGGTCTTCTCAAGCCGGCCCAGAGCTACGGCCTCCAGCCCACTCGCGACCTAGACCGCACCAAAGGACGAACAGAGTTGGGACGTTCCTTTCCCTCTTTGTCTTTGCAACGTGCTCTGAATGAGGAAAAAAGAAAGAGGGAAAGGCAAAAGCCCCCCCCGTCCCCCGCCCTTCTTACAACGCACCCACACTAGGAAGGAAGTTCTCCTTGAGAGGCAGCGGACTCAAAGAGCGCTTCGCCTTAACCAAAGGGAATCTATTGAAACGCTTTCAAAGGATCCGTTTCTTTTCATTGTCCTTGCAGATTCTCTGCGCAGCTCTCCGCAGCCCAGTGAAAGGAGAGGCGCGGGTGGGAGGGTGGCTGCTTTCAGCCACACGCTGCCCAGGTGCTTTGCGCCTTGAAAGGTACAAGGGAGGCTAGACTAATTTTCGCAACAAGAGCGCAGAGGAGAGGCGAAGAGAGAACCCTCAACAAGGACTCCCTCGCCGAGCAGGTGCAGACAGACGCGGCGGCGGCGGCGAAGGGGTGCAGCTCTAGCGAGGAACTGGGTGTGTGTGTGTGTGGGGGGGTGTCCGGACTTCTCCGGCGTCTGCGGAAGGCCGAGTCCCTCTTTCGGAGGCCGCTGACCGGGAAGCGAACTGACCCAGAGGATGAGCCCATATCTGCGCTTCTGAAGCGGCGGATTGTTGAATGGAGTAGGGCAGTGGGAAGAGGCGGGCCGAAGGCCAAGGAGACCAACGTTTCTGAGGCTCAGCTTAAGGCGAGGATAGCTTCTTCCTCCCTCCTTCCAACACAAAAGATCCCGGAAGACATAAGACAGAAAGATCTCCCCTTGTGAAAAGGCAAAGAAGAGAAGGTCTTTTGGGGCGAATCTTCCGAGATCTTTGGGGTTTCTATACTCCGGTCTCAAGTAAACAGCTCTGCTTCCACGCAACCTACTGCAGCTTCATACCCTCCGGAGGTTTTGGATCACAACTCCAAGCACCCGGAGCCACCAGGTGCCCCCGACCTATCTGGAG